GCCACGTCCATGGCGGTGTGGAAGTCATTGTCCAGGGCGAAGAGGTTGGCCCCGAAGTTCGCCAGGAAGTTGAGGATGTACAGGTGGCCGTTGGAGGCGGCGTGGTGCAGAGGTGTATTGCCCCAGATGTCGCTCCTGTCTGGGTCTCCCCTGGAAACAGACAAGGAAACAGCGAAAACGACAGATTGCCACTGTTTCTACTGCAGCCTACTGCACCACCCAGCTAACGCCACTCCAACGATGCGCCATCATCAGCGGCACACCACAGTAAGCAACGCCAATGGAGCAATGGAAAACAGGGAAGAGGAAACGGGAAATTGGGCAACAGGAAAAGGGAAACAGGAAATTGTCACTGACCTTTTCGCCGTAGTAAGGTTTAATTTTGGTTCTGCAAGACGGTAATGAAAATTATTGGATGTTTAGTTGGATCAACGGCCGTGCATTGATGCACTTTTATATAGCTCACAGAACGATGTCGTTCCGTCGGCCTGAACAGCAGGGGAGAAGGGAGCTCTTCCCTCTATCCCAGAGTTTGCCCAGTGTGCTGACCAGGGGACAAGCTTACTCAATGCAGCTTCCCTACATTTCCTCAGAATGCAGCCGGAGGAGCAGTTTCTCACCCATCCCCCTGATCTGCTGTGCAGTGGGGCTGCAGGACGCCTGTGGGGGTCAAAGAGGCCCCCCTCCTATATGCAGTATGTGAAGGGCTTTGGGGGCTTTTGGAAAGGGTTATACAAAAGATAAATATCCGAAAGCAATTGATTATCCTACTGATTTTCCAATGGAAACAGCTTTTATCACGGTAAGGAGATCAGGGTTGTTACAGTATGTTTGCATGTGACAACCGCCGAATACTTAACTGGTGAGGTATTAAGAATAAAGTCCTCATGTATATTATCTACTGGCTTGTAAAATGCCCGCTAGGTGATAGTCGCTTAGCAACTACACAAATGTCTGTGTGAGTCCTGCCATGGACAGGTGTCCCATCCAGGGCGTATCCTGATTTGCGACCAGTGCTTCCTGGGATAGGCTCTGGGCCAGCGTGACCCTGAACTGGCCTTCATTGAAATTGATGATGATGATGATGGTGATGATGGTGATGATTCTTGTTAACTATGTTTTGGAAAGACACATCAACAAACTGACAACTTTTTCCCATTTTAAAGAGAGGAATAAAAACATAAAATAAAGTAATTAGCTGTTACACATCATTTATTGTTCTTTCACCCTCATTACATTAATGTTCACTAAAATACTTTTTAAACAATGTAAGATCTTTTCTGTTATAATGACTAAAATTCTCTCTGGCTCTCTCCTGCTACAGTGTGAACACATGCGATTGAAAAGCTGCAGAGTAAAGTCTCAAACCTCTCTGAACTGAAAGAGCCCTTTGTGTTGTTTGAGCATTATTCTGTTTTGCTTGATTAGATCTCTGGCATCATTCAGCTCCTAAAAAGCTTCAGCTCCTAAAAAGCTTTGCAAGTGACGCAAACTGGGGCGAGAGTTTTTAAACGATATTTCACGATACAAACGCAGCAAAAAAAAAAAGCCATTGTAAAATATGTCAAGGCTTCAACAGGCTGATGTGGTCCTGCAACAAAATCCCAGGAGAAAAGAACTTTGTTGAAATGATATTCCGTTGTTTCAGAAAAAAACGATGTTTGATCACTTCGCCCGTGTGATTAAAAAGCTGCACTGATACCTGCTGAAAGCTGTTATATACAGCAGGTGATAATCTCACAGCAACCTTCGATACCTGCCCGTGGTGTCCCTTCGCGTTTCTCAAGCTTTGACAAACCCACAAGTACAAGTGACACCGGCTGCACGGTCCCCAGATCAGCTCCCCCGCGCGTTCACTGGTCTGGGCCTCATGATACAGCTGCGTGCGGCTGTACCATCGCCACCTTCCCAGAGATCAGTGGATTCCCTGGGAGAAAGCGTGAGGAAGGAAGGGCCCAGCTCTTGTCTTGGGGTCCGGATTGCTTGACCCGCTGTTGGAAGTTCTGGGTGTTTGGAGACTGAACTGAGTGGAGTTGAAAACTGGAGGAACTGGTGAACAAAAAGAAAAACCGTGCAATGCAAAAACAAAGAGCTCAGCTGACCTTGCTAGCTAAGTGTCTAGAACTCTCTGTGGTGACGTTATGTCTGTGTTAGAGCACTGAGGAAGTGTCGTCTTGCAGGGTATAAAGGTCTCATCC